TTTACACCAAACTTTTCCACATAGATGGGTAGGAAGGGCCGGACCTGTTTTATGGCCTCCAAGATCGCCTGATCTGAACCCTCTAGATTTCTTTGTTTGGGGATATTTGAAGACATTAGTGTATGGTACTCCTGTAAATAGCCTGGAAGAGCTGCAGCTACGGATTAATCAAAAGTGTCAAGAAATCCAAACCAAGGAGGGTGTTTTCGAAAGAGTTCGAATATCGTTGAGACGAAGATGTCGTGCCTGCTTGGAAATGGACGGAGGGCACTTTGAACATCTTCTGTAACTTTGTTTTTTGTTTGTTAAAAGCTTCCTTTGTCGGTTTATTCCTAATAAAATAAAATGTTTGAAAAACGAATAGTGGTCCATATCTCCGCAACCGTTACTTTGCGGACCCATGTTTATTAAGACTTTTCTGCTTATTTTGGTTCATACTATTACCTCCTGAAATATTTTACACTCTTTTCTTAACACCCTGTATACATTATTGAGAAGAAAAAATATGTGTGGGTAGGACTGTAGGACATAACCTCAAAGAAACATGTCAAAATCGCTTTTATTCACTCTTGGGATTGAATATCTCAAATTCCTGACATGAAGAAGCATTTTTGTGGCCACAATCTTTAGGGTGAAAAACTGCGACAGAAAACAATATCAGATTCAAAATAGTTGGGTGACGGCAATGAAATGTATGGATATACAGGGTATTTCATTAATAAATTAAACTTACGCCAGCTACCCAATACTTGGCCTAAATACAGGCTGTTACAAATTCGCTTCTCACTACAAGAATCTCGGAAACGGTAAGAGGTACGAAGTAGCTTAAATGTGGGCAAAGTTGCGTAGTCGGGAGACCAACATTATGCCTCTAAAAAATCAACATTATTAGTTTTCGAAATATTTGAAAAAACCGAAATTTTGGAAATCCGTTTTTGTTTCATTTCAACCTTGTTTGAAGTGATATTGAAAAAAGAAGAACACTTTCTCATGGCCACTTTTTGTCCTCTATCGAATGGCATAATCAATAATGTAACGTTTCGTCTCTTCAGGACCATCATCAACTTAATTTTTTTAAATACGACCCTGGAAATTTTATAACATTTTTTGCAAGCCTTCATGACCCCCAATACTGTACTGCCTCAGCTATAACCAGATTCAGACGGTTTGTCTCGAAAAATTCATCTTCAGTATATTCGTTCCAAATTTATCTAAATTTTCTATTTACATTTCTTTGTTTATTGAATTATCGTACACTGTAAGTGTTGTTAGACCCTGTGAAATCAATCTAGTTATTTATACTATTACCACCATGCGTTACAATAAAACATTTATTATTATTAACTATTACCATCACTTGGTCATACATAACTCAATAAGTTGTTGTGTCAAAATTACAACACAAATATTATTACAATTTTATTTTATTATGACAAATTAATTCTTAAAAATGCATATAAACAACCAAAACGCGATTATTATTCTTTAAAAAATGATCAATGATAAATGTTCAAAAATATTTCCGTTTTGCCAAAGGTTGAAAATTAAGATCAGCGTAATATTATCGGAATTTATTTTATATCTGTAACCGTAACTGTGAAAGAGCATGTCAGATGTATTTGTATGAATATCCTGAAAAAAATAGATCGGAATTTGTTTGAATTTTGAGCACTGGAGAAGCCTAGAAATAACTATGGACACAGGAATAAAACTCTAATAATGTTTTATTTTAATGCGCGGTGGTTTATAACTAGACGTATTTCACAGGGTCTAAGGACACTTACAGTGTACGATAATTCAATAAACAAAAAAAAACATAACAAATTTATATAAACTTGGAACGAATACACTGAAGATGAATTTTTCGAGACAAAACGTCTGAATCTGGTTCGGGCTGAGGCAGTACAGTATTGGAAGTCATGAAGACTTTCAAAAATTGTAATAAAATTTCTAGGGTCGTATTTAAAAAATTTAAGTTGATGATGGTCCTGAGGGCAAAAAGTGGCCATGAGAAAGTCTTCTTTTTTCAATATCACATCAAACAAGGCTGAAATTAAACAAAAACGGAATTCCAAAATTTCGGTTTTTTTCCAAATATTTCGAAAACTAATGATGTTAGCCTTGATTTTTGAGGCATAATATTGGTCCCCTGATTACGCAACTTTGCTCCCATTTAAGCTGGTTTATATCTCTTACCGTTTTCGAGATCTCTGTAGTGAGAAGCTAATTTGTAACACCCTGTATAACTCAAACACTTACAATCAGATAAAATGTATCCTCTTACTGAGATGTAGGAGTTCATTATTTGGATACCTTTTAATATTTTATTATTTAGCAGAACGCTTAATTAATTATTATTTTATTAAATATTCAAATACTTTAAAAGACAGCTTGTTATTGCCAGGTACAGAGGAATATTGTTCCCCATTTAAATTCATAACATCATTATTTTTCAAGAGAACTGACGTTAATGATAGGCTTGAAATTCCCTTTGCTTTGTTGAAATTTCAGGTTCTTGATGTATTTTCTTGATTTTTTTTTTATCCAACTTCTCCAGTCATTATTTTCTTTTATGCCACCATAAATACTTTTCTTCGATATTTGCAGTTACTTCTAGTTTGCGTTTCCACAAGGGAATACAGTAGATCTATTAACCTATCTAATAAATTAATTAATATCCCTTATAGAAACGTTTTTACGACTAAATAATTAGATTTAGGTACTTTCTCTTTTTCACATTCTGAGATTTATCTACTGCCAATTAAAGAGATTCTCTTTTGCCGGCAGATTTAGGTATTATGTCTATATACATATTTTAATATTTTGAACCTCTACCTTTAAACCATATCCTGATGTAGTACTCCTGTCTATGCATTTTTAATGTCTATTCTTGAAGCTGATATCAGATTTTATGCATAACCTGTACAGTGGTGTAGTTGCTACTTCATTTTATTGATACCATCTTCAACTGAAAATGAAAAATTCTCGGTAAATATGATTTCATGAATTAATATTAATAATTTTTACAGATTTCTATTCTGAAGAAACAGTTAACAATCAAGGATTGGAGTGTTTAAGGTTTCTAAACGAAGTTATCTCAGATTTTGATGCAGTAAGTAGAATAACTTAATCAATATCATGCACATATAATAGCATGTGCATATAAAATTAATGTCAGTTCTTCATATACATTTTTTTCATACGGGCCTTCGCTAACAAGTTACGAGCACTCAAAGGTGAAAATTAAAAAGTTATTTTTATTTACATTCTCTAAATCATTAACTTCAGCATGACGCAAATTTGGTGATCGATAACACATGCTTACAGATTGTTTGTAATGTTGTTAGTGAAACTTCATTATGTCCAGAACCCATAATTTTTGCATAGATGACGATCTAAATCTGCCTGTATCAAAAATAAATTCCCTGATGAATTTGCCAATATTAATACTCTCTTGGTTCAACTCGGTAAAATTAACAGTTTAAGAAATACATATTTGTGATTTTATGTCACAGTGCACATAGAGCGGCGCCTCCACCATTTTTTGTTTTTATTTTTTAATTGCACTTAATTACTATTTTTCAAATAAGAGCCCAGAAAATCTTACTCTCTGCTAATATAATTTTCACTAACAAAATTTGACAAACACACTTTACACATAACACAAAATAGGAAAACAAAACAAGAATAAGTTAAAGTTAAAAAAATTATTTAAAAGAAAGAAAACTATCAAATTACATTTTCAATGTGGACACCTTCCACCTCCACACACTTCCTAAGTCTACGAATGTTATTTGTTTGTATACGAAAAAACATTTCTGGGGTAATAATTTAATAGGTCTATCCGTTTTTGAGGACATCGCTATTTGGAGTTTCTGCAAAATAATTTGAAGCCACTATTAAACGATGTTCCATTAGACATCCGAAGAAACACTTTGTTCATGCACGATGGGGCTCCTCCCCATTGCAATATTGATGTACGAAATTATTTATCCATTGCATTTAATAATAAATGGACAGGCCTAATTTCATGGCCACCACATTCTCCAGACTTTAACCCCATGGACTTCTTCCATCGGGATACTTGAAAAGTTTAGTGTATGCAAGCCCAGTACAGACAAGGGATGAATTACTAAAAATAATTAATTTCCATTGTAATAATATTAGACATACCCCAGAAATGTTTTTTCGTGTACAGACAAATAACATTCGTAGATTTAGGAACTGTGTGGAGGTAGAAAGTGATCATATTGAAAATGTATTTTTCCTTCTTTTAAATTATTTTTTTAACTTACTTTAATTTATATGTAAAGCGTATTTGACAAATTTTGTTAGTGAAAATTACATTAGCTGACAGTAAGATTTTCTAGGCTATTATTCTATAAATATGCACGGTTCTAACATAGTAATTATGTCCAATTAAAAGTGAAAAAAAAAAACGTTGGAGGCGCCGCTCGATGTGCACTGTGACATAAAATCACAAATATTTACTAAACTATTAATTTGACCTAGTTGAACTAGGAGGATATTATCGTTGGTAAATTCTTCTGGGAACTTATTTTTGATACAGGCATATTGCGATCGTCATCTATGCAAAATTTCTGGGTTGTTAACCATTGGGCATAGTCCATCCCTGGCGTTCTGGGCATAATGAAGTTTCACTTATAATATCAAAAACAAGCTGTACGCATGTGTTACCGTTCACCAAATGCAGCATGCTGAAGTTAATAGTTTAGAGACTGTAAATAAAAATAACTTTTTAATTTCCACCTTTAAGGGCTCGTAACTTGTTAACGAAGGCCCGTATGGAAAAAATTCATATGAGAACTGATATTATTTTTATATCTTCTATTTGCTCTCGACTGTTTGTATCAAGTACCGGGACACCCTGTATATAAAAACAGCTTAGAAGTTATATTGTATAACTTTAGCAAGTTTAACAGTTTTTTTATACGAATACTCGAGAAATATATATTTATAACTACAAAATAGATTTGCATTTTTTTGTCAAATGTAGAAGTATTATTTTGCAAGATAAACCATGCTCTGTTTCAGTTAGATTTAGAATTAAAAATGGTAACAAACTAAATTTTATAGCTTTTGGAACTACCCCAGTTTCAAGATGTAATAAAAATAAAAACCATTGGCTCTACTTACATGGCAGCCAGCGGCCTAAATCCTTCAAGGCAGGTCAAGGTTAGTATTATTTAAAAAAAAAAAACAGTAATGTTGTGACATTTCTTATACGAGAAAGAATTTTACCTTATAATTTACACCTTGTTTGAGATAATTGTAGGTTGTAAAATGATGATATTATGGATGGAAAAGTAGTTCAATTATTATGAAAAGTTAGACAATTAACAAAAACTCCTTTTTCGAAAACTGTCATCAAAAGTCGACATTTTCGTTAAATTTTCAGTTGATAAAGTGAGTCTTTTTCGTCATCTAGCTGCAAAATACTTTTATGTTCTAGAAACTTAAAGTCTTTTTCGTTCTAGAACATGAACATGAAACAAATGTCAAAATAGTTCGTATTTTTTTCGAAACCTATTTATGATTTTATTAATTAAACAATATATATTTTAAGTAACATAACAATCTCAATACAAAACAGTAACTATTAGAAACGGGGCAATTACAATTTATTTTGCACTACATGTAAATTGAAAGTGCCGATATTGCAATCAGTTAAATTTATGTCCGATCTAGTGCTGTCAGTTATCGTAGCTTTTAGTTCTGGGTGTTCAGTGAGGCTGCTGCTGTAATTGTTTAAATTTACTGCGCACGTTGTTTTATTGGCAAGTTCAGTAGGCTATGCTGCAGATGGTCATAATTAATCTGAGACGGAAATTTTATTTTGTAAAGAATCTTCTATATATGTCTCCGTTACCGTACTAGAACGCCACCCCCTCTTGTCGTTTAATGGTAGTAATATCGGCCCCTGCCTCGGCTAGCAGAGTGGCGGAAGAAGCAGTGCCCTGTATAAATTTCCGGATGAGGCAAATTGAGATAAGTTGCTATTTCTTTTGGCACATTCCTTATTTTGTTGACGCTAACCATTTGGTTAACACATTTTTTCTCTGCTATACTTCACAAAAAATCCTCGACTTGTAATAACGTTCGGACGTTAAGCACAGTATTTGCGGTATGTCCTTATTTGGTCTGGACTTGAAATCATAAAACATCTCGGAGTATGAGTTTTGGAATCAGGAATTCTTATAATGATTTAATCTTTGTCTTCTATATCATCGATCGTTATCTTTAGTAGCTCATCTCCTCAAAGCTCCACAAACACAAATTAGTTGTCCAAAATTAGTTAAATCGATCGATTTATATTAACTTGAATTACCTTTTCCAGCAGAAATCTATTCAGGTGCTTCTTGTAAACATCTCTCAATTTCCTCTTTCATTAGAATTCTGGACTTTTTCGGACGGTATCCAACTGATTTACTTTTCAAATATAACTATTGGAAATTTTCTGATATTTACATTTTTTTGGCATTCAGTGTACTTTTTAACATGGACTATACTGACCATAACATTGAAGGTTTAATTTTATTAATTTTATGTTCGAAATATGCCAGTAATACCGCCTCTGACACTTTGAATCCGTTGTAGGCACTGTCTCGACAATTTTTTGGGGATTGATTGTGAAACACCACTTTGTGCAGCTTCCAATACTTCCCCTGGTAAATGCTCGTCTTCACTTTCCGAGCTCATTTTGAATGAAACACTCTTAGGATAAGAATTATAACAGAATATATCATTCTGACACTACTTTTTCAAACAACTAATTTTTATTATTTATTAGGTTGCTATTGTTATGATAGTCACCGCGCCTAAACCGTCTTGATTCAAATACAGTTCAAACGAGTTCAAAAAAATACCTTTAAATTAAATTTTTGTATTATAACACAATTCTTATTTTATTGTAGTTTTCGAAAAAATATTGTTTGCATCTCGAATGCGAAATGCTTTTGCATTCTTGAATGGATATTTTAAATAACTTCCAACCATTTAGCGTTCTAGATACAAAAATAACAATTTTTCCGAAAAATTTATCAAATATTATTTTTGTTAGCCTTGTTTTAAGAACGTAAAAATTTCATTATTTTCTATCGTATGATGAAATCATCGTTTTTCTCAAACTGTCATTTTTCTAAAAACGGATTTTCGGTTAATTACACAAAATTTTCATGAAAACTGTCACGATTAAGATCAGAATTTACTACAACGTCTATAAAAAGTATATTAATAGGGAACACTTTAAATTAATGGAAGTTAAATTCAAATGAAATAATCTCTAGGTGTGATTAATGAAAGTGGACTAAAATTAGAATCTGATGATACTCTATTTATTCAATATTGCTAAGTTTATTTCAATAACTTTTATAAAGTTTCTAGCGGATTAATAAATTATAAAACACAGCTAAAGCAGCTAAAAATATTTCATACAATATTTATAAAAAGCACAATATACATACCTCGACTAACGATTCCTACTTTGCTCATTTATTAAATCTTGTGAATGTTCCTTGGTCCAATAAACTAATATTCTCTTAGAAAGTTCAATATATCAATATCTTGTACTCTTTGCCCGTGCCTCTCGTATTATTAAAAATGAATCCATTAACCTTCATATTTCATCATTCATAAAGCAGGATTCCATCCAATTATCTACTAATATACATGGTTCTAAATTGTCGCCCAATATTTTACATATAAATTATATATCACATTTTTTCTATATATTTTGAAAGCACATATATTTTAATCTTAGAACTGGCAGAGAGCAACCTACTATTTCGAAGGTTTTATGAAAGTCCGTGTCACTCTCTTATATCCGCAATAAGATCATTCGTTAGCAGAACGACTAGACATTTACCAGTCATATATAAGGTTTCGGACTTATTAGTTGTCATCAATATGCTATAGGTAGTATCAGCTATACTCACTTCGGTAGCTAAGACATCAAAATAAGCTGGATCATTCATCAGACATAGGTGGATGGGGACTAATAAGTTCGAAACCAGTATACAGGGTGATTCAGAACTTATTAAAAAAAAAAATTCTGGATGTACAGGGGACCCTTACAAATACAATTTTGTAATGAAAAAATCAAAAAAGGCAGTTGGAAAATGATTTAAAAATTCCTTGCTGCACGGCACTGGAAATTGGTCCACTGTAAAACCTCACCTCGCTCAATGCGACCGGCATGGCGGTGTGATAAAAACGAACAAAAACTTTCGCAAGGAACGAAATAAATAGAATTTTATAGCACCTATTTTATATCGACAAATTGAACTGCTTTTGCCTTAAAAATTAATTTGTGTTTTTAAATAATAAATTCATTTGACATACCCGATGTTACAACATTTGTTCAAAATTTTATCCACCAACGTGTAAACATATTTGGGTCCGTCTTAATCACTTTCTACGAACTAACATAAATGTTGTCTTGCTTCACCATAACACAAATGCTTCACCATAATACAAATGTTGTCTTGCTTCACCATATATTAAAACGATATCCATCAACTCCGAGTTGCTATACACGCAAACCACTTTTGACACTAACTACTAAAAAACTATTGTAAACATCACAGATAACAGGTAAACACTATGGCAACGACTATTGCAAAATTCAGTATTCGGAGTCGCTGAGGCCACGTGGCTCTCCACGCGTATTGCAAATGACGCTAGAGACTACAGTTGTCCAGCTATGTAGCGGTTGAATGTATTATAACTTCAATAATTTTTTTCTCGGAAACTATAAGGATTTTACAAAAAATTTTTTTTACGATATTGACTCCATTTCTCATGCCGCATCTATTCCCAAATTTTTTTGGATAAGTTGCGAATCACCCTGTATATCTGGTGGGTTCAGCTGATGAATGACACTAGCTGTTTACTGTTTTATATGCGCGAATAATTCAACCTTAATTTCCCGGATCTAGATTAAACAAGAGTGTCCTTGGTTTCCTTAACTAATTTAACTATATTTTTCAAACAATTAAAAAAGTGATTCAAAACAAAAATTATTTGCTATAAAGCGGTATTTCTCGCTTTTTATTCATTATGGAAAAAAAGTGTATTAAAATTTCTTTCATTTTCATTAAGAGGTCTCTACAGCAAATAGGCAACCAGCAAAACATTTTTATAGATTTTATTTGTTTAAATATGAATTAGTTCACAAATAACACAGATTTTCGTTACAATGGAGGAAAGTCTGTGATTTGTGCATTAATTCATATTTAGACAAACTGTGTAATAAAACCTATAGAAATGTATTACTGGCTGCATATTTGCTATAGAGCCCCCTTAGTAGCTGTATTAGGGATACAACACTATCGTTATTCAACTTTATTTTGAGAAAATTTTGCTTAGAAGCGTCTATTTTGAAACACACGCATTGATTTTAGCCTGACGACCCCATATCAGTGAGATGGCTGCACTTAGCCTTGCTAGTGGAATTTGCTCTCGAACTGAAGAAAGCACTGCAAAGCATTAACGAACAATCATTCAACCATTTCGTGCTGAAACTGGGTATTAACCATGGGCCTATAACAGCTGGTGTTATTGGAGCTAGGAAGCCACACTATGATATTTGGGGGAACACGGTCAATGTCGCGTCCAGGATGGAGAGCACTGGAAAAGCAGGATGCATCCAGGTAGAGTACATACGAATGTATATTTTAATTAGAATAATATTAAAATATTCCATAAAAAAAATGATTTATACTTAAAAATTCTTTGTACTTAGTTCATTTTTAGTGACAGATCAGCATCTATAACCAACTTATTTTGTAGGTAACCGAAGAGACCTGCCAAATCCTCCAGCACTTCGGCTACCAGTTCGAGCAGCGCGGCCTAGTGGCAGTGAAGGGCAAAGGTCAACTGATGACTTACTATTTGCTGGGAAAAGCTGGCAAGATAACTCCTCCAACGGCTCCAGTATCTCCAATAATGGGTATGTCCACGATGGAGACCGTAAACGAGGAGGACGAATCTCACGATAGCCCGACGTCAAAGTCGGATGAGAAGACGGTCATAGAGTGTTCAGATCGCATAGAGGACGACGTCTTCATGTCAGAAACGGAGATATCTTCATCGGAACAGGCGTTAATAATCGTAAATAAGGAGGTCGAACCGAAGGATTCGACGGAGGCTACGTTGCTTCTGAGCCAGTGTGATTCTTAAATTGTGAATAGTCGTTTGGTTGTTTATTTATATATTTGTAGTTTAAGTTTCAAGTTTTTACACCTTTTACGCACATGTTATTGGAATGGAACCTTTACTGCATCATTATCCAACGCCTTATCGATATAGACTCGTCTAAGAATATCTGTTTGTGGCGTTCCTAAAATAGTTCTTTTGTTTGGCAATTTATCATGTCGTCAATTAAAGAAATAAATCAATAAAGAGACCATTGCGCCTCAAAGATCCATCAGATTGTTGTCTTTAATAAACTTACTTTTGAAATATCACTACGTGTCTGCGCTTTGAAAATTTTTTGATTTTCGTTTTCAAAACCACACGACTTTGTACTTGTTTTTGTTTTTTTTAATGTGACAGTTCATAATCGTTTATTTATTTACTTTCACAGACAGATGAGATATCGTATAGTTTTGAATCTTCCAAGTATACCCATATTCCGTGCATATAGAACGACCCTAAATTCTTGAAATATAACTTTAAATTTTGATGCTTCAAAATAAAATGATTTAACTATGTTTACTTCTATTTAAAATTGTTTAATATCAAAGCTGGCAAAAAATTGGATTCCCCTTGGTTAGAATATTCTAAATGGCTCCGATGTAAATCAACGAATTTGAAAATTAACATGAAGTTCAGAAATCTGCAATTAATGTAATACATTTTGAAAATTGTCAGTATACAAAGTTAAAAATGAATTTGTGTATAAATAATGACATTTCTCTAGCAAATTTGAATCTATGTGATTATTCTATTTGAAAATATTTAAATTAGACGAATTTTATTTTTTTGCAAAATAGAGTAAATCTGAAATTAGTTTAATTCTTATTTCTGTTATTTTCTTCTGGATTATGTTTTACTGAAAATGTTAATCATTTGCAATAACTTTCACGAAAGGAGTTTTGATAATTACTTTTTTGAACCCATAAATCATTTTCACTATCAAATTAGTTAAATTTTGGATTACATTTTAATCATATGTGTATCCCAAATGTATTTGTATAACAAATAAAACGACTATGTTTTATTTAATAAAATTAAAGAAGAAAAAAATTCTTAAATTTATAACAAAATAAGAACCGAAGGAATTATGAGTACTGAGTATCCATAAAAAAGTCATTTCTTCAATAAAATGTTGTGGGAGGCACAGTGAAACTCCTTACTTACTTACGACTAAGAACTGAGAACCAACATATTTTCCCTCCTCGAAATCCGATATAGCTAAATATAGCTCGTACGAAAATCAAATTAATGCAAGCTGAACTATTTTTTTATTTACCCAATTTCAGAATATTTTCAAACACTGATGACAACACTGATTGATTCTTGTGCTACAGAGGGCTCTTTATTAATTATCGTATCTTTTTTATTAAATTGCAATGTGCAAATACAAAAAAAAAAGGAAAACGGCAGAATAAATTCATCTCAAAAATAAGGAGATTATTTGTATGTTAATTTCAATGGACCAGAAATATTGATTAATTTCACCATGTAGTCAAAAATTAAGTCATTACGGTCATGACAGGAGAAATGTATCAGGAATTCTAAGAAATATATGACATAACAGCAAATACAAAAAGTTTAGAGTATGGCTTTTCAAGTTAACCTAAATGCATCAATTTAGGAGAAAGTGTAAAACCAATTTCAGTTTTTCATTGAAATCGGACATACAGGGTGTATATTTATAAAATATATAAATAAAATTTTAATATCTAGTAATGAAAAGTACAATTCTTTCTTCAATGTAGGTGTAACTTGACAGTACAGTATCTTCCATTTATTGTTCTTCTTATTGTGATACTACCACATTCCTCTTGGCTTACTTTACTTACATTTCGGTTTCTACTATTCAACCACTGGGTAGGAGATTTACTTGTTTATTATATTAAATTTCAATATTTTTTGATATACTCGTACCTACGTTTTTAAAAAATATTTGAAGACTTATAATTGTGACTGAATTGAAATGAAATTAAAGTAGCTGAAAAAAGTAGGAATCATTATTCAACGAAATCTTTTTATATCAATTATAAGATACATCTCCTGATGACTGTAATGCCACTTGTACTACTAGTAACAATAAGTATACAAACTAAGTTGAAACGTAGATATAATTATACCAAATGATGAGATTTATTATTTATATGCTAAAGATTTCATTCCAACTAGCATATCTTTAATTAATAACACAGGAGCACAAAAAAAATACTGGAGGGTTCCTTGAACCAGATCAAGTGGATTATATGTTTTTTGGGTCGCTGAAAGTGAATCTGAAACCTGTTTTGCCTAACCTCAAAAAACAGCTTGAAACTATGAAACCCAACAATATCAACCCTTAAACCATGTAACCCAACTCAATAACCTTGAGGTCGATACATTATAACTCTAATACCCATAACCTGAAAATCTATATCCTCAAAAGTCATAAATCTCAAATCCCAATAAACTGCAAACACAAAAAGGAGCAAAAATAAAAACAAAAAAACTTACAAGCTAAACTCAAACCTCAATCACGGAGAGTTGTAACTTCATAATTCTACACCTCCATCACGTCCTAACCTCATGATCCATAAACTCCATAACCCTGAAGTATAACATAAGAAAATTGCATGTCACAATATAACTCCGAATCATGTACAATTTAATGTCGTAACTCCACATCCCCATAACTGAAAACCTGAAGACTCCATAATCCCAAAAATTCATAACCCTATACCCCAAAACTATAAAATCCTATAACCCAGAAATTTCATAACCTTATAGTCCCATAACCGTAACAACAAAAAGTTTTTCAAGACAGCCTTCAAAAGCTTAATCTCAGAAAACTACAATAAAAATTTATATTCGAGACTTACATCTTGTTCTGTAGAAAGTTTGAACCAGATATTTAATCTTATTTCTCATAAAGTTTGGGTCTCGAACACTATAATTCGAATACTCAATAAGGTCAAGATTTTCTGCATTGTAATAACCTACATTTAGCGATACCCAGGAACAATGACGTGGCGTATAGATGAACCTTATAGGCTGTTGGGGTTATGGGGTTATGGGACTTCAGGGTTATGGAGTTTATGGGGTTTATGGTTATGAAGTGACGGATGTATAGAATTATAAAGTTAAAACTCTCTGATATTGAGGTTTCAGTTTTGCGTGTAAGTTTTTTGTTTTTTTTTTTGCTCATTTTGTGTTTGCAGTTTATTAGGATTTGAGATTTATGACTTTCGAGGTTATAGATTTTCAGGTTATGGGTTTTAGAGTTATAGGTTATCGATCGCAAGGTTATTGAGTTAAAATATAGGGTTATATGGTTTAAGGGTTGATATTGTTGGGTTTCATAGTTTCAACGTGTTTTTGAGGTTAGAGAAAAACGCTGACGTGATGGGGCAAAGCAGGTTTCGGATTCGGTTTCAGCGACCAAAAAAACATTTGATCCACTTGGTCTCGTTCAAGGAAACCTCCACTCATTTTTTTTTTGTTTTTTTTTATTTTTTTTCTTTTTTTATTTTTTTCCTTCCCTTTTTCGTTTGTTGTTATTTCCAAAGGCGTTGGAGTTCGGCTCTTGAGTTTTCGTTTTAAAAAATATATATTTTTTATATACCTACGTCCCTATAAAGTCACACAAACATTTTGCATATCTTACTTTATTCATAATATCTACAAAACATTATCATCTAAAGTTTAACAATAATTAAGAAACATACTCATATTTATTATATATTATAGATAGAGAAGACAGGGGAAAAATAATTAAGGAATGACCAAGATTATTTTTGTTTCTATCCGATTCATTACAAAATCATGTACTTGTACCTTGACATAATTATTTGTTTCGAATATTACTCCCAGATTTATTTTATTTATACAATAAATATTAATTTATTAATTTCGCTTTGCTGGCTATAATTGAAGTTATGTTAGTTACACAAATAATAACGCACATATCTGACAGAAATATTTTTTTATAAAACGTACAAATTTCCTTAAGAAATACTTAGATAATTTTGTTAGATAATGAAACTGTGATTTTCATTTACTGTTATACAGGGTGAATCAGGAAAATCGCACCAAACTCCAAGAATGTAGGTATTTTACACTCAAATGTTGTTACGCGATTTTCATTTGTTTTTAAGTTATGACGTACACAGCGTTATTTGATTAAATGTTCAAAAACACTACCATTGACTTCTATATACTTTCTGGTTCGTCTACGAAGGGTGTCTGTAACTCTCCTGATTGGTGCAAGCCTTTCTTTAATAAGTGATGTATTATTGATGATACGTGTTCCTTCTAACTTTGTACACTTCATTTTTGAACCAGTCCCATAAACAGTAATCTAGAGCTGTGAGGTCTGGAGATCTTGCAAGCTGACTAATAGGACCACCGCCTCCAATCCGAGGCCCTGGAAAACTCTCGTTCAAATGTAGCTTGGCTGGACAAGAGAAATGTGGAGGAGCTCCATGGTGCTGGTAGTATATTCGCATTCTCATGTTTATAAGAACTTCCCCTAGTAGTATTTGTAATTCAGTTTGTAAAAAATTTAAGTAGTGGTCTCTTGTGAGGTGATTCCCCAAAATGAAAGCCCCAATTATATAATAATAATATCGGTCATACCACACCACACGTTTAACGAAATCATGTACTGAAAATTATTTTCGAGTGTTACGTGAAGATTTCCGTCTCATCATACATGAGAGTTTCGAATATTAGTTATGCCCTCACGGGTGAATGTTGCTTCATCCGTAAAAAGTATGCGCGATACAACAAGATGATTATTATTGATCCATCGACAAAACTCGATACGCTATTAGCACAATCTTCCGGTTGTAGGTGTTGTACTCTCTGTACATGGTACGGATATAAGCCTTGCTTCTGGAGGGTTTTTATTACTCTTTTTTGTGAAATGTCCAATTGAATTTTTTATCAGGACATATGTAATGTGGAAACCGTTGACGATATTCTTCTGACAGCAGCATTAGCATTCCCAT